CTGCACAAATCATCGTCTCTGATATTCTAGCCCCACAGACATTTTTGGGCATGGCTTACAGCTCGTTGCCCTGCTCCTCTGCCTCCACCCAAAATAGGACTAAGAAGATAAAATGTATTAAGGATCTATCATCTCTCCCCAGAAGTCCTCTCTCATCTGGGTTGGTTTCCTAACCTTCTTACACCCTCTAGATCCTGTAGAGCCTGAAAGTCTGGACCGCTGCAATGCTGGCCAGAAGCGCAGCCTCCTGGGCGGCTCTCGGGCCCTCGCATTGCTCTCTCCTTTGGTGGCTAAGGAACTCAGTCTGAGGGCCAAGTTAAACAAACTCCACTCTGGAGGTCAGCAGGGTGGTTCCACTTAAGAAGTCAACTCTTCAGTTTAGGGAGCTTTGAGAGGAAGCCTTGATTTCAACTTTAGATACCGGTGCCTCTCATAGCAGGCATCCAGGTCGCAGTTTGCAAACACCATTCCCCACAAGAGGAACCAGCGCTCGTGGAGAAATGGCTGGTTCCAGCACCTGGATATAAATAATCAAGGTGAACTTGAAACATTTCGGGGGCGGCCAGAAAGTGAAGAGCTGCTTAAAGGAGGACACAGCGGAGCCAACTTGAAGGGTCTTCACCGGCCAACTGTGGGACAATTTGACTATCAAAACGAAAAATGATGACAACATTATGAAACACGGAGAAAACAAATTCATGAGTCTCTAGTGCAGTAAAAGAGAGAGAAAGTCAGAGGTGGGAAAACAATCAGTGAATCTCAGTGAAGGGTATGTGAATGTACTATTCTTCTAACTCTCTGTAGACTTGACATTTTCCAAAATAAAAAGTTAGAGAAAGGAAGACAGAATCAGCTCCCTTCCCTCGCCGGACACTCTGAGCTGACGAAACCAATCTTTCCTGGGCAGGAAGGGGTGACTAAAGCCCTCTCCTGGGCTCGGCGGCCTCAGGCCCTTCTCCTATTATCTCGGCTAATATAACCTGTCAGTGGTTATGAATGAACTGATCATATAACGGATTTTAAGGCTGCCATAAGTTAGGTTAATACTAATTATCACAAACATTGTCAAGGACAGCAAGCAAATAAAAGGGCTCTATCTAGCGTCCGCTCAGTGCTGAATGCTCTATAACTCAAATATAAAGGAGTCTGATCCTTTCTGGCATTTGCCTGTCACGTCCTCTTCTCTCTAAGCTTCTACCTGGCGCTCAGGAGAACAGGCCGGGGCTCACCGTGGTACTCCTCAGAGCATCCTTCAGAATCAACCGGTCAGAAAGGATCACTTGGGCGCCATCTACTGAGTAAATGCTTGCACTGCATTGGCGCTCCAGCACTGCGCCCGGGCCACGAACAGGCCGCCCCAGGGTTCAGCTCCCCCTTACTAGAGGCAGGCAGCAAAGTGCCCAGCACCAGGCAGGCATTCAACAAACAGTGAAATGAATTACTTCCACCTTTGAAGTCCCCTCACATTTATTTAGTGCCAATATGAGGTGAAGGTGGTAAGAACCTAATAACATCATATTGATGTCTTCTTCTGGTTAAGTCCTGTTCCCACAGATGGATTGTAAACTCACGGAAGGCTCATTGTTCTCCCTGGTGACCAACCCGGTGCTCCATACGAAACGATCCAGAAACGCCTGTGGCTGCGATCAGATAACATGCACTGTGTGGAACGAGGCTTTCAGAACAAGCAAAATGAAACTGAACCAACACAGAACGAGACAGGAATCTGATCACTATTCTGTTTGTTTCTGTTGACCACACTCCAATTTTTTTCTTTTATTTTTTTGGTCTCTCTTCTCTAAATTGCAAGCTCCAAGAAGGCAGGGACCACATGTCTTGCTCATCATTGTATGCCTAGCACCTAGGAGCACCTATTCAAGAAATATCTTTCGAATGGATGAGTAGACTGAGAACGAGGGCATGTGCTCCTGCTCTGCTTGCCTAGAGGCGACGACCAATTGTCCTGAGCCAGCTCAGCTGTCCTCAAGAAAGCCTTGACCCTAGACATAGACTCCATCACTATCCAACCAACCAGACTCCACATGGCCCTTACACAGAGGCTCAACCCCAGTAGTAACCAATAGGTGCTATTTGGAAAGACACATGTATAGTATTTCCTTAGGCAACTGCCATCCTTGTGCCTTGGTACTATTTGCTTTATTGATCGCCTATATGCAAATACTCCTCCCCTGCTCTGCCCGTCTCCTAAACAAACCCACTTCCTCACACAGAGTGGCTGGAGTGTTGTGTAGGAAGCAATTGCACCCCTCTCCCCTGGGATGGAGTATACCCGACTTGTCTGACTTGGGGCTTGGCCAGGTGACTTCTTTCGGAATGTTAGTGAACGGGATGTGAACAGAGGCCTTAAACGTGCCTGTGTGTTGGCTTGGCCTCTCGTGCTTCTGCAGCCCATCCAGAGAAGAGCACGCCCCACGCAGCTGCTACCCTGCTGGCCTGAACCCTGAAGCCTGGAGCTACCCAGGCCAGCCCAGCTGAAATCAGTTGACCCCAGCCAACCCACGGACCCATGATAAAGAAAAATAAACATTTGCCCTTTTGAGGTGGTTTGTTACACAGCAAAAGCTAACATATATGAACACTATCACCCCTGCTCCTGAAAGCTTCAACCCAGACTCCTATTCCCTGACCACAAAACCCCTTGTATCTGCGCACTCCACTACTTTATCACCAGAATGCCCGCCTTTCCCCCACATTGAGACCGCCAGTCCCTATTCTTTCTCTACCAGGCTCTTTCTGGTTTCACGTCCTAGCCAACCTGGACAATCAGGTTTTAGCCAATCCTTGGATCAACCAAATGATTGTTTTATTCACCTCTGCTACCGTGCTGCTGACGAGCATCACCCAGCGTCCTGACTGCATCGCCTACGTAGGAGATCCAGCTTCAGCTGGTCCTCAGTCTTGCTTGGGCACGCTTTAGCTTATCTACTAGCAAGTGCCTTCCCCTACTCCTCACGTGGCTGCCCCAAACCTCCGGCACGCTCAAGCCCAGCCTCACTTCTACTCTGCTCTCAGCAGAGACTTCACTTCCGACTTTCCAGTGAAAACAGAGCTGTTCCAGGGGAGAGAGTGTGGTTAAGAACAAGGGGTCTGGAATCGCACAGACTTAGGTGTCTTCCTATTCTGCCCACACTTGAGCAAAGGCACAGATCAACCATCACGTCCGGTCTACAACCTCCCCCACCCTACCTCTCCGTGATTGTTTTCTTGTCTATGTTCTCAAAGCGCTTAGCCATAGCCTAGTTCACAACTTTCCCTTGGCTTCCCACTGCAATTAGAATAACATCTAAACTCTTCACCTAATTTACCTACCTATAAGGTCATGCATGATCCGGTTCCCGTCTATGGCCCCAATCCCATCACACCCACTCAACGAGGATGAAGAAAGAGGACCTTCCATATGCAAAAGGGAGAAGCCCCCAGAGTTATCTGATATACTGCAAAGAGCATGTGAAATCTAAAACTGTGCATTATATCTCTAAGTAAGTCTTTCTTAAGCTTCTATTGGAAATAGTTGTATTTCTGGACCATCTACTGGATTGGCAATTAAGGAACATAAAGAACCATAATGATGTATTCATTGCCTTCGTTGAGTTTCTCTTATGTGCCAGGCAGAGAGCTAAGTGCTTCACGTGCATTATCTCATTTAATTCTTGATACAGCCCTGAGGTAGGTAGCATTATTCCCATTTTAAAGAAGAGGAAACTGGGATTACCAAGGTTAAGTGACTTGGCCAAGGCCACCTGCTCATGACTGGCAAAGTCGTTATTAAACCCGGGTCTGTGTCATTCCAGAACTTGCGCTTCTGACCATTACACTACAGTCTCCAGAGAACAGCAGCTAAGGGAAGACCAGGGTTAAATCGGGCAGCTAATCTACCTGGAAGAAAATCCACCCAAGTGCTAAATCAAATTCCCTAGAAACCACCTAAAATGGCATTAAAGCTTTAAATATGCAACCAAGACCAGCACTTTAAAAGTTATCTGCATTCTGGATAATTTAACTCCCAGCCTCCTCCTAAAATGCCAAGACGTCCCTTCTCATCCAGGTACGGCCGAGTTCCTCAGCTGCAGATCACATACCTCACCGTCTGCCCCAGATTCTTGAAACTCAGCGCCTTTTGCTACAGGTTGGATCAGGCAAAGAATACCACCAGCACTCCATCCTCCATCTCTGCCACCTGGGACCATCGGTCACCAGAGCAAACTTGCCCAGACTGTTAAGACCGTCCTGACTGCTTCTGATGCAAACAGGGAGCTTGTAAAATGGGCTCAATGAAACAATAATGATTGCTTCGCTCAGATGCAGATGCTCAGAGGGGCATCCCCATCGGGGCACCACACAGGGACTCGCAAACTGAGGGAGAGGTTGCACGTCCATTCCATTTTCAAAGGATTACTGAAACTGAGAGGGGAACCCTAATAAAAATTAAGTAATTCTTGGAGATCAAGAAGAACCCAGAGCCACAACTAGAAGGACCCACAACTAAAATATATGACTATGTACTGGGGAGATTTGGGGGGGAAAAGCAGAAAAAAAAAAAAAGGAAGAACCCAGAAAGAATCCCTTCCCTGGGACAAGTGGCATGCTGACAATTCGATGTGGGCTCCAGGAACTGAACTCAGGATTCCAGAAGTTTCCAACAGAAATTCATATTTAAAATGCACCACAGACTTGGCAACTGTTTGCTGACCAACGATAATGCACACCTGCTTCTGGAATGGACACAGAGCACGCTGTTTGCAGAATGCCTCGGCTTCGTTTAGGAGAAAGGGGAAGATTTAAGAGCAGATACACACCTCCTGTGGCCAATTCCGAACAGATGGCCACAGTCCACGCTCAGCAGATGGAAGCACGTCTTACCCAGAGAGCCCTCTAGTCACCAGCATCAGAACTCAGATTCCAACAAGAGAAGCCTCAGGCCCTCACGAGCTGAGAGCGGAAAGCAGCGCGCAGCAGGGCGGCACTCAGGGTCTACTCACGCATGCAGTCTCCTCCGTACCAGCCGGCGCGGCACTCTGCGCAGTACACCCCCTTTACGTAGAAGTCGTCCAGAGCGCCACCCCATGAGCCGTTCCGGCAAGCCTTGCAGTTTTCAAAGATGGTACAACCTGAAACATTTCCATGAAGGGGCGTTAGAGGAAGCACTTGCAGGTGCTGATCGGCTGCACGGGGGAAACTGCCCCTTCCAGGGTCTCGGCTCAACCAAGGGCACCGGGCCTAGAAAGGTGCTGCAGCCCTTAGGAAAACCGCTCATTCTGGGGAAATCCAGACTGAGGGGTGCAAGAGGGTGCTCTGAAAAGTAATGTGAAATTACCCGCAATAAAAAGCAGAATCTATCAATGTCGTGTGTTTTTGCTCTTTATAAAAGGATTACATGCTTATTGTAGAATGTTTACAAAATTCCGACAAGCAAAAAGAATTAAATGACAAACATCTGAAATTCCATCACCTGGAGAAAACTATTGGTAACACTCTCTGTATATAAACAAATGCATTTGTGTGTGTGGATGTGAGGAAGATTGTCCCTGAACTAACATCTGTGCCAATCTCCCTCTATTTTCTGTGGGACACCGCCATAGCGTGGCTTGACGAGCCATGTGTAGGTTCGTGCTTGGGATTCAAACCTGCGAACCCTGGGCCAGCCCCCAACAAATGCATTCTTTTTAATTAGGTTTGAGGTATATACTCTACGTCTGGTTTTGTAACTTACTTTTTCATTTAATAATAGATAGTAAATATCTTCTCGTCCCATTACATATTCTTCTATGTCATTCTACAACCAAAGTATGCCATTGGAAACAACCTTAATGCCTAATCACGGGCTCAGCCTGGAAGGTGTCAGGATGCCCCCGTCACCCTGCAGGCCACACCGGAGAGGGTTGAGCAGTTCCCAGTCAAGGGTTATTTTTAAAACATGGTCTCTTGAGGGGTGGGGGATAATGAGGAAAGGTAGAGATAATCTAATCCCACTTATTAAAACAGAGAGCTAAATTCTGGCTCTGCCATTATCCAGCTGTGTGTCCTTGAGCAAACTGCTTAAGCTCTCTGTGCTTCAATGTCCTCATACGTAAAACCGTGGTTAAAAATTGTACCTACCTCATAGAGTTGATCTAGAAATTAAACAAACACATGCAAAAGGCCTAGCATAAGTAAGTACCCCCAAAACATGACTCTGATTATCATTCTGTGTTCTCACACCCCGCTTGGCTTATCCCCACCAGTGCAAGCAGCATGCTCAATTTTAACTGCCTATTATCTGTTTTCCTACAATAGACTGAAGTCAGGGACTGCATCTTGTTCAACATTATATCCCAGCACTAAATTCAATGTCTGGTACACAGTAAGTGTTCAATGAATATTATTTAAGTGAATGAATAAATAGACAGGCGGACAGAGGATGGATGAACGAATCGTTCATCCAGGCTTCTGAACGGAGATAACTAGTGTTTCCGTGAGCTGACAGCAGACTTCTTTGCTTTTGGCTGAACTCAGGTTCTCGTTGGCCCGTAATCTGCACACACAGGGTGGTACTCGTGCTTTCTGTGGGAGAGAGACCCACAGCCCGCTCTGCGCACCATCCTGACTTCGCTTCCCTTTTTTTGCTGACTTTGCCCAGTGCCTCCTCCCACCAGAGAAGAAGAGTCACTAATATGAGTCATCAAACTTCCGTAGGTCACGTGGCCCATAACTGGGTCCCAGCGGGATCACTGTGCCTTCTAAAAAGGCCATCTTCACCCACATGCCACTCTCCCCTCTTTGATTACTTGTCCGCTGTGCCACTGAGGAGGCAAATGGACTCTGAGTCTGCCCTCAGAGTCACTGCCAACTCTCCTTCTTGGCACCGTACCATCTGGACCATTAGGTACCTACATAGCAATTGTGGTCCAGTGAGGGCCCCAGTGCTGCCGGACATCCCTGGAAGTCACCAGTGACATCCCCACCACTGTCCCCTTGGACATGGATCCTCCTGCAACCACTGTCACCAGAAAAGACAGTTGTCTATCACGATGGAAATTCTCAGATCATACTGACATCCCATTTCTCACCTTCGAGGCTGGCAAAAGTCCGAAATAACATTCAGTGGCAAGGCTCTGGGGAAACAGTGCCCTCCTCCACACGGTGAATGCCAAATGCATGGAGCAGGAGCTGGCAAAGGCTGGCAAAATGACACATGCACCTCCCTTGGATACAGGAATCCATCTTCTAGGAAGCCAGCGATACGCTGCAAAAATGCTAAATGCTGTATGCCTGAGGCTAGTCATGTAGTATTTATAATAGCAAAAGGCTGGAAACAACCCACATACTCATAAACTGTGGTAATCTACACAATGCAGCTATATGCAACTGTAAAAAGGAATAAAAAACTGGCTTTATACTGTCAGGGAGTGATTTCCAGCATATATTAAGAGAAAAAAAGCAAGGCAGTTAGCAGTGTTAACGGTATGCTACCTTTTGTGCAAGAAGGGGAGAGATATATAAACGTACATACATATTTGCTTGTATTGTTGAATATAGAAAACAGATGGAAAAACGAAACCTGTCTACATGTCCAGCAGGTGGTTTAACAGCACAGACAAGAGACCCGCCTCAGTCAGCGTTCACACGCAGGATTCTGACTGCACGCACCGAGGGGCGTACTCCAGGTCAACAACAAGCACGGTCGTCAGCGGTCTCAGTGTCAGTACAAATAATGCTATTGCTATGTTGTACAATTATATTATCACATAAAATAAAGCAAATAAGTGATTAGGTTAAAATATTAGGAAACAGGATTTTCACCCTGAGAGAAAAGACATACAAACATAAAATTGAAGAAGTTAATTAAACCACCCTGGAACATTGCATTTAAATCTGAGTATCAGCATAAACTCACTTTTTTCTTTTTTAAAAAATACATATTTCCTAGCTCCATCCACTTAAAAAAAAAAAACCCAAACCTAGTAACAATGATATTCCAAAAGCAAGGAGCACCTCAAGTGCCCAGACTGTGGTGTCAGACCAGAGTTCCTGGGAGAAACGGCTGATCCCAGATCTGGGATAGAAAATGTACAAGGAGAGCCTGAAACATCTCCTCATGTGAGAAATCAAGGCGGTCTTCAAAGACTGGCGTGGGCACGTCAGAACACGGGACACAGGGGCTCCCGGGGTCCTGCACGCCTTAAAATGAATAATGACTGAAATGGATTAAGCCACACAAATAAATAAAAATACCTAACTTCACAATCACACACACACAGATCACCAACAGGGACTTCTAGGACGTCCACTCACTATTTTGAAAATTAGTGAAAGAAAAGAAAAAGGCATTTCTCTAGCCTTTCCTTTCAAGGTAACCAAATGGTTGAGGTGGGACAGCTCTGCGCTCCTTAGATGCCAAGATGCCTCCTAGCATCACTCAAAGTGGCAATGCTGGCGCCTCCTGTGTGACGCAGCGGGAAGCACACAGCACCTCCTGAGAACATCACTGAAAGACTTCAACACCACTGCCAAGGCCCCTCATCGGGAGACCCTGGCTTAGCTCTCAAAATCTCCTTAGAAAATTTGGAGGCATTACTCCACAACTGCCCTACAAACTACACTCACCATCAGGAAACAGGGCGGGCGGTTTCTTTCCTGGATCAAATGTGCAGAGGTGACACTGCGGTCACGCCTACTTTAAAGCTCAGCATTACTCTCTCCCAAGAAGGAAGATGCTTTAGAAGTACCACGTGTATACTTGAGCCCCGGTTTTTTCCTATTCTGTAGTTTCCCACGAAAGAAGGTCCCTGGTAGAAATGTGTGTCATTCTCTATGTTTGCATAAGAAGGGAGAGAAGGGAGAGAATGCCCACAGCACACTTTTGACCTTCTTCCAGCCTTCCTTCCAGGAAGGCGTGTTCGCAGCTCTCTGCGGCCTCCTTTTGGTCTGCCCTGGAGAGTTGAGTCTCCCCTGGGATGAGTCAGGCGGACGAGGCAGCAGACATGAGAGCAGCAAGAGCACGTCCAGGAGTCGGGAATCACGTTGGAAACATCTTCAGGTGAGGATCAGCATCCACCCAGGCCTCCACCAAGACAGGCACTTCAGCAAGAAAGGACAATCACTGTCCCGTCCACAGCGGGGGTGGGGAGAGGCTCTGGAAGAAGCTAGCTTCAGCCGGCTATGCAGGCAAAGGAACGGGCACCACGGCCTGGGAAGCTCCCATCTCACGCTTAGACGCTGTCTTATCACATGTCCGGCTCAGAGCCAGAGCACCAAGCTTGATGCTGCTCTTCCTCCCCTCCTCCCCATCCAAGCAATCCCGAACCGTCAACTCCTCAACTCCGCTCTTTCATCTCTCAAATCCCAGCCTCTCTCTGTCCTTAGCCTTCTGCGTTCAGTAAGGTCTCCATTATCCTCCCCTGCCTCTGGCTGTGTCCTTCCGCCAATCCTTTCCCCAAACTACAGCTAAAGAGAACACTGGCTTCCACCTCTTTACTGAGAGATCTCCAATGTCACTAAAACGTCTTGAGGATGTAGCCTCAACTCCAGGGCACAGCTTGCAAAGCCCTTCAGGGTCTGGCCCCCGCTCTCCCTCCGATGGCTCTCTGAATCTTCTCTCTTCATCTGTCTCTCTCTCTCCGTGTCTCTCATCACACACTTACATACACACATATACATACTCGTACATACACACTCATGCACACACCTATACACTCATACACACACACCTATACACTCACACACATACACACACCTATACACTCATACACACACTGACACAATCATACACACACCTATACACTCATACACATATACACACCTATACACTCACACACACACTCATACACATACACACACTCATACATGCACATAAATACACTCATACACACATATACATACACACTCATACAACTTACACACACACACACTACACTCATACACACTTACACACACACATATACACTCAGTTACACACATAGACTCATACACACTCACACACACACCTATACACTCACACACACAAATACACTCATACACACATACACACTCATATAACTTACACACACCCATCATACACACATATACATGTATACACTCAGTTACACACATACAGACTCATACACACTCACACGCACATACACACACACTCCTCCTGCCAGACTGAGCTTCTTGCAATTCTGCAAACCCCATGCTTTCTCTTGCCACAGGGCCTTAGCACGTGCTGCCCTATATGGCTTGACCTGCCTGCCAGATCCACTTAGCCCTTTCAGTTTGCTGCTTGCATCTCAGCACACACATCACCTCCTCTAGCAAGTCTCCACCGACCTCCCCTCCATGACCCCCAGCCCCATCCGTGCTCCCAGGGTCCCTGTGCTTCTCCGTCACAGCGCTCACCATGCTGTACTACAGCTGCCTGGTTACCCCTCCATCTCCCACCAGGCTGCAAGCTCTGGGAATGCGGGGAATGTGTCTTTTTAATCCTTGTATACCCGCAACCTGACACAGCACATGGCTGCTCAGTCTGTCGAGTGAATGAATGAATGAGTGGATGAATCCACAGCTTTACAAGTCTACCATGAAAAGGGCACGAACTCCCCAGTTCCTTGGCTCCGTCATGCCACTTTCAATAATCACGGCATCACGGCCCCCTCACGTCTGCCTGCCAAAAGTCAAGTGTCTCGCCTGCTCCCATCCACGACCTCAGAAAACATGGAGGCGACTGGAGGCCCCGTCCCACACTCACCGGGGTGGATCAGGCAGGAGTCACACTCGTTCTCCTCGTTCCTGCAGCAAGGGATGGTGTACCCCACGACCTCCTTCCGCCCGGGGCAGACGCATTCGATCTGATCATATTCGCAGCACTCGCGACACATGATGTTCCACTCGGCTCCGGGGCAGCCTTCGTTAACGACCGTGTACTCTGGAACGGGAACCAGCAGGTGAGGACGTAGGCCTGGCGGGAAGGGCGAGACCCACGGGTGCTCGACTGCTGAGGAGCAGCCAGGCCCAGCCTGGGTGACAGAGAACACTGCGTGCATGCTTCCCAGGCCAATGTCGGCAAAGCGGACTGGCCCACCTCAAAGGGCGTTCAGGACCACCCCCTGGCACACAGATGAAATCTGTTAGAACTGTTATTCATTTTTTTAATTTTTTTAATCAAAAAGAAAGAAGGAAAAGAAATCATGTTTTATCAATATATAATCTAAGTGGATTGATAGATATATACATAAATAGCTTATACACAAGTATACATCTCAAATATCTACAATCATTTCTATTTTTGCTGGGGTGCATCAGGCCACGGCTCACAGCTACTTAGGTTGTGCACTGCACAACTCCAGGAGGAGCCACTGAACCGCACAACTGCATGGTGCAGCCCAGGCCCTTGGGCCATCAAGAGAGCATGCAGACCACTTTCCAGACCAGGCCATTCAAGCGAAAAGGCCGGCTGCAAAGGACGGGCCAAGCCATTTCCTCCAGACTCAGCTGCTCGATTTCTCAGCATGCCGTGTTTATGGTATCTTCAAAGCTAAAACCAACAGCAAAGACAAAAAGTATCTTAATTAGTATGTTTGGGCGAATTTCGGTGTTCACAGGAGTGAGCTCACTGGCAGAGCTTCATTCAGTCCGAAATGCAACTGAGTGTTCTTTCCCACGAGAAAAAAAGTATTCCTTCCTGGGTAGGATTTCTTTCTTTTTTTTTCTCTCTTTTAAAATGTACCTTTAGTAAACGAAAAAGACAAAAACATCTGGTAAAATCTACAAGAGGAGCCCGTGGGAGGTGGCCCAGAGGAATCCAGGCTGAGAAACAGACTTAGCTTTGATTTGCTCCTCTTTCTTCCCCACACGCCACTTCTAAAAATTGTGCACAAAGATGAGGATTGAGGCAGAAATAGGTCACCTATCAGAGGGAGAAAGTGAATCTGGGTTCCTGTGAGGCTGTCCCTCCAAATCCCGGGCAGCGATCCCCAGCATGCTCTGGGGGCCAGCAAACCAACCCCAGCACCTGTGGGGGCGTCTACCCTCTTGAATTTCATAGTTGAGTTTAGCTTTCTATTTTCTTCCCTCGAATTTGAAGTCCGACACAGGGGTGATCATTCTTCATCTGCCAAGGGGAGCCCTTTAAGAAAGCCATCACCGTCTAGTCTCAGCCTCAGGTCATAAGAACATTCTAGAATCACAGAAAGGAACGACTACTCGCATAACAAGGGATGGTTCTCTACACTGAATAAATTTAGCTTTATGAAATATTTGCCCACTTTTTTCCCACAAACACCGGTGGATCGGCAAAGACCCACACTGGCACTCGGGAATGAGCCCGAGAGCACCGTGGCCTTGTCACTGCTGAGGCTGTTTCCCCCGGGCCCTGTGAGCCCTCTGGGATGGACGCCAGGGCTGCCTTAGCAGAGCTCCCCACGTCTCCACGGTTGGCTGGAGGAAGTGAATGCCTTCTCAAGTCCAGATGAGAACGCAGCAGTTAAAAGTGAAGGGGAGCAGAAGAAAACACGGGGTAACCCTCCACGATCTGACATTTGGTTGTGAATTCTCGGACATGACACTTACGCATGAGCAACAAGATAAAAACAGATAAATTGGACTTTATCAAAATTTTAAAAAATTGTGCAACAAAAGGCATTGTTAAGAAAGTGAAAAGACACCCTATAAAATGGGAGAAAAGATTTGCAAATTATATGTCTCATAAGGGTTTAATATCCAGAGCATATAAAGAACTCCTACAACTCAACTACAAAAAGACAACCCAATTTTTTAAATAGGCAAATAGCATGAATAGACATTTCTCCAAAGAAGATACAGAAATGGCCAACAAGCTCATGAAAAGATGCTTGACCTCACAAGTCATCGGGGAAACACAAATCAAAACTACCTCACAGTATTGGGATGGCTACAAAAAAGGAAACTAAGAGTTGGCAGATGGAGAAAAGTTGGAATCATCATATATTACTGGTGGGAATGTAAAATGGCGCAGCTGCTGTGGAAACCCGTTTGATGGTTCCTTCAAAAGCTAACTGTAGAATTATCACGTGACCCAGCAATTCTCCTCCCACATATATACCCAAAACATCAAAAACAGGGACTCAAATGGATTTGTATGCCAATGTTTATTGCAGAATTATTTACAACAGCTAAAAGGTGGAAACAACCCAAGTGTCCATCAACAAACGAGTGAATGGGGCCGGCCCAGTGGTGTAGTGGTTAAGTTTGCATGCTCGACTTTAGCAGCTCAGGGTTCGCAGGTTCAGAGCCCTGGTGCAGACCTGCACACCACTCATCAAGCCATGCTGTGGTGGCGTCCCACATGTAAAATAGAGGAAGACTGTCACAGATGTTAGCTCAGGGACAATCTTCCTCACCAAAAAAAGGAAAAATGAGTGAATAAACAAAATGTGGTATGTACGCACAATGTTGTTTAGAATGTGGAATATTATCCAGCCATAAAAACAAATGAGGTTCTTATACAACCTACAATTTGGATGAATCTTGAAAACACTACACTTAGTGAAAGAAGCCAGACACAAAAGGACAAATATCATCCTTAAAAAATTTTGGAAATAGTGGTGATGGCTGCACAACACTGTGAATATAATTAATGCCACTGAACTGTATACTTAAAATAGTTAATATGAGAAAGTTTATGTTATATATATCTTACCACATTTTTTAATGTAAAAAATAGAGAAAACAAAATGGTTCAAGGCTCAGGCAGTGGAGTAGACAGACCTGGGCCCGGGGTACCACCCCACTACACTGGGCGCAGGACCTTAACTACGCTCCTTTCTGCAGTCAGCCTCAGTTTACCTTCCAGTAAATGAGTACACTTTATCCAACCCAGAGGCCTGTGCAAGGACTAGACAACGTCTATCAAGCACTTCCCAGCGCCGGCCTGCAGCGAGCATTCAACAACCAGCAGCTTAAAAACGGAAACAGCACAGGGCCCGTCTCCCAAGGCTCTTACTTTTGAAATCAACAGCATGTCAATTTCGTACTGAAAATGTTCACATTGTTTCCCACTGCATTTGGAACAAGCCCCATGCGCCTGCCAGCCGCGGCCCACAGAGCCCTCCCTGCCGACCCCTCCACCCTTCTTTGGCCTCTGCTTCCCACCTTCCGGCAGTTTCTTGAAACCCCCAAGCTTTTGCCCCCCTCACGGCCTTCACATCTGCTTTTCCCACCATCTCTGTCGCAACCTTTCAGGCTTCATGTCAATGACACCTGCTCTGAGCGGTCCTCACCCACTTTCTCATCTGAACCCCCACCTCCGCCATCCCCCTCAGGGTCGTCCCTATCACAGCATCCATCCCACTTGTTTCCTTTCTCAGCCCTTAACACAACTGAGAATATTTTCTATGTTTCCACTTACTAGCTTGTTGTCTGCCTCCCTTGCAAGACCATAAGGCAGCAAGAACCACATCTAACTTGTTCACAGCTGCTGGGGAAAGGCCTGGCACGCAAGAGGCGTTCAATAAATACTTGCTGAATGAATCGGCCTTAACTTGAGAGCCACCCTCCCTTCAATAGTCCAATATTTCCATCCAGGGGGGCCAGCTTGGAGCTAAAGCCCAGCAAACCTGGCCCCGCCCCGTAATTTGCCAATATCAGAGCTGGGGCACCTTCCCTCTGGTGGTAAAGAGTTTGGAACAGCAGTTCGGGTGACCTGACGTGGGTCCAAATTCCCTTGCCACAGCCCCACATTGTCCAGCACATGATTTCTCCACTTTCGGAACAGCAAATATGCGGTGGGGTGTGGCTCGTGTCTCACCCCTTCCCTCCCTTCACCCTAGGGCAAGCACTGTGCCCTTCTAGGTTTTCTAAGAATTCATAAATACTAATAACTCCTGGGCTGGGGGGCACCAACAGGATACAAGTCATTTCAACTTTTGTAAGACTCTGTTCTTAACTGTGGAAGGCCAGGTCAGGGCCGCGCGGCTCCAGCAGAGGGCAAAGCCTGCTTCTCCTCCAGCAGACTCACCCCCTCCCGCCCGGCCACGGGACACTGCAGGCCTCTCTCCTACACAGGAAGTAAGTCCCTAAAGTGCCTTCAGAGGCATTTCTCCTCATTTCAAGGAGCAAGCCCACCTCTGCCGTCCCTGGCCCTTTATACTAACTTTATAGGTAATGTCCAGAGTGTCATATCCTCTTAGCCAAAGGGAACGCTCCCAGGGAGCCCAGCTACATACCGTCCGCCAGGTCAGCCAGCCGGCTCCTTTTCGAGGAGTCTGTGTGTGGCAGACAGAATACAGGCACCCAAAGACATCCGCATCCTAGCCCCAGAACCTGTGAAAATGTTACGTTACTGGCAAATTACGTTACTGTAACTAATGTAAGGATCTTGAGATGGGAAGAATAGGCTGGCTTGCCCAAGTGGGCCCAATGCAATCACAATGCAATCACAAGGACCCTCACGGAAGGAAGGCAGTGGGGTCAGAGTCAGAAAAGGAGAAGCGACGACAGAAGCAGACAGTGCAGGGACGTGCTTTGAAGATGGAAGGAAGGGACCACGACCCCAGGAATGCAAGCAGCCTCCAGAAGCTGGACAGGGAAGGAAACATTCTCCCCTGGAGCATCACAAAGGAATGCAGGCCTTCTGACACCTTAATGTTAGCCTCCTAAGACTCATTGCAGACTTCTCACCTCCAGAAGTATAAGACAATAAATATGTGTGGTTTTAAGTTACTAAGTTTGCAGTAATTTGTTACAGCATCCATAAGGAACTAACACACTGTGTCTTCTCAAAAGAAGGGTCAACCCACAGCAAGTCATTTAATCATTCTGTTCCTCAGTTTCCCCACTAAGCACAGTGCCAAGACTGTGGGTAAATTGAGAAAGTCTTCTTCCATTCCACAAGCATTTATTGAGTGGCCACCATGGCCCATGTAGGAGGCTGGGTGCCAGGACCCAATG